ATGCTAGTCAAACAATTTTTTTTACCTTACTCATCAATCAAGCAACAAATTAACCAAGAAATAAAATATTAAATTTAGCAAATAACCACCCAACTAACACATCACAAAAACAAACAGAACTACTGTCCAGACACAACCAACTTAGTGGAGTAACCAAGCAGCTCACTAGTCAATTAATCGACTATGCTAACCTAACAGCCAACCAACAGATGACCTCACCCACTCACAACTAACTGTTTCGGTTTATATTTCAAACCGTTCAAGGAATTACGGCCAAAACGCTCAATGTTGTTCTCATCAAACCAGAATAAAATTTGTGTACGTGAGGGGAAAATGTGTCAGTTGTTTAATTTTACAGGCCCTCTCGAAAAGTTAAAATAAACAAAACAAAAAAACATGCTGTTGCGTTATATAGGTTATAGGTCCAATTAATGTTCGAAAAAGTTTGGACATGATCTATCTTGGTCTCATTTTTTTGACAACGAATACCCCAAAAGGTAGTTTCAATCTTTGAAAAAAAAAATCAAGGGAACAAAGAGCGTCTCCTTTGTATCGAGGCCTTTCAAATCAACAAGAATCATCGGAGGCAGCGGAAAACATCCCCTGGTATCATCTTGAGCCTCATGAGCAACACATCTCCAAAGTCATCTCCCGTGCAAATTCACCGGTGGAATAAACTGTCAAGGCCAATCAGACTAGATGGCGACTTCGGGGGGGGGTTTCAAATAAAAATCGCAATTACACAGGCGAGAATGGGAGGCAAAATGTCGGCGAGGAGGATATACCGTTTGTTTGTTTGTTTGTTTTGGTTCCTAAAAGGAAAAGCAGGCTGAAACATGTCCTAAAACGAGACGATCTATTAAGAGGAGGTTAAATGAAGAGCACAGCTGCCCTCTAGTGTTGGATTAAGGGATTTAAAAAAACAAAAAAAGAAAAAAAGGGGGAGGCTCAGGCCGCCGTCAACAAGAGGAGATGGCATGCCTCTTGTCATGCAAACACCACGTGATGGCTTAGGAGGACAATTTGGCAAGTAGGTTGTGTGAGCAAACACAAAAGATGCAAAAAGCGGGAGGGATTTGATCCGAGCAAAAAAATGAAAAAAAGGCAGACCTCATTTGCACAAAAGCAACTGGAATGCACGATTTTCCGACAGAGTCCTTGAGTATGAATTCATTTGCAACACAATTGGGGAAACTTTCTCCTTACCAACCATCAAAAAACAATGTTATTTTTTGCCAAAAGTCACTCACTCTTGTATAAATTCAAGATCAGTCCTCCTTTAACACAAGTATCTGCACTTCTCTTTCAATACAGAGTTTAAGAACTTTTGCCACCTTATATAACTTAAACTAATATAGTACCATTTCAAAAGTAATAAATATGTACCTGAAAATGTTCAGAATCAACTTGAGGTGTCAATGTATTTCTTCACATTTTAAATGTCATGGGCGGCCATTTGAGCTGAGTAAAAATGACATAACGACCTTATCAACGTGTTTCTCATTTTAAACATATTTTGTGTTACTTCTTTATTTGTTTTGGACATTTGCGGTGTCCAATGATCGCAGTAATCCTACTAATACCTGAAATAGAACGAAATATTACACCGTCAGATCAAAACTAAAACCTCGGTGGTCGCTGGTTGTTTTTCCCGCTTCAAAATGGTGTCGAAAGTGCAAAATCCACGCCGCAGTGAACGCATCAGTAAGAATGAGAGGCACTTAAAAGAAGCAAACGAGGAGGTTTTCCGTCTCAACAAGGAGACAACATTTCAAAGGAGAATGAGCACTCAGCGACCACAGTACAATTGCGTGATGCTAATGTGTCAGCATTTGTCAATTTTTCATGCCACGTAGCCTCAAATGGTTGACCAAGTCCGGTTATTGAAATTGACCCAAACTTCTTCACCTGTGTACAAATTATCAAAATGGACATTTAGGTAACTTTGCAAATTGGTTTACAGAAGAATGTTTTTTGTTGTTGTTAGCTTTTATTTATTTATTTGAAAGCTTCATCTTAGTTTCGTTTTCATTAGGTTTAGTAATAGCTTTATTTATTTATTTTTAATATTTGAATTATTTGGTCATTCAGTATTGCGTTATAAAGTTCAAGTAGAATTCTCAAACAACTGACCTTCCTTCTTCTGTACGAAATACCGAAATAAATACATTTAAAATCAACCCCCAAAGCTCATGCATAATATTAATTGACCAATGAAAACAAAGGACATTTTCGCTGTAATTATGTCATTTTAGTTACCGTGGGTTTTTTTTTTTTAGCATTGCTGTTCTGTTCGTTTATTTTATGAACAATTTTTTCCCGTTAATTATAATAACCCCGGTCCCCACTGAAGGCCAAAGTACTAAACGCACGGCCAGCAACTGAAATGGACATTTAGGTAACTTTGCAAATTGGTTTACAGAAGAATGTTTTTTGTTGTTGTTAGCTTTTATTTATTTATTTGAAAGCTTCATCTTAGTTTCGTTTTCATTAGGTTTAGTAATAGCTTTATTTATTTATTTTTAATATTTGAATTATTTGGTCATTCAGTATTGCGTTATAAAGTTCAAGTAGAATTCTCAAACAACTGACCTTCCTTCTTCTGTACGAAATACCGAAATAAATACATTTAAAATCAACCCCCAAAGCTCATGCATAATATTAATTGACCAATGAAAACAAAGGACATTTTCGCTGTAATTATGTCATTTTAGTTACCGTAGGCTTTTTTTTTTTAGCATTGCTGTTCTGTTCGTTTATTTTATGAACAATTTTTTCCCGTTAATTATAATAACCCCGGTCCCCACTGAAGGCCAAAGTACTAAACGCACGGCCAGCCACTGACCGATGAGCAACGTCCGTATCTTATTTTGACCATGCATGAGCCATAAAAACCTGACCCGCCGACCATGTGAACCACTACACTACCCAGTGACCAAGCAGTTACTTTGAAACGGTCACTACTTTCTAACAGAGGACAGCACAACGATTAAACAAAGCTGAACTCAGCAGGTACCCGCAGACTCAAGCTGTGACCCCACCACTACCCTCAGCACACACACACATACACACACACACACACCACATCCTGGCATGATGAAAAAAAGCCCACTCACTGTCCTTCAAAGTACCTCTGGGCTTTAAATTTCACCTCCCCAACCATCCAAGCTCAGCCCTTTTCCTATGTGGATCAATAGAAATAGGATCAATCGCTCCGCCGCATGGTAATCCGATGACGGCTGGTGCCACGGCCTGCTCCGAGGCTGGAATATGGGAAGAGTGGCGGGGGAGGAGGGGTGGGGAGGAGTCAGGGGATCACATCATGTCAGACATGTATGACACAGGTGCTCGCAGTGAGAAAACACGTTACGTCACCAGCGCTTGTCTCTGCTTGACGGCATATGGACACGTAGGATGACATGCGGGGGGGCCTCGTGCTGTAATGTTTTCGAGCCTCACAAGACATTTTGTTCTGGTCTGGAACCAGCACCTTTGCATGCTTCCAGAAGCCTTCGGGGAGTTTTTCTGCTGCTGTTGCTCGCAGTCCAAGCGTCAATTAAAGTTTGCAAATGAGGACCTGCCCCACGCGTCCTTTTGTCTCGACTGAAATTCATTCATCTGACACATTCGAGCTTCACTGTGTGCCAGTTGGCAGCGGTTCTTTTGCTCAGGCACACTCACTGGATGCAATATTAGGGACAATTGCACAATCTAATCGCATTCAAGAAATGGATGAAGCAATCTATTTTATAAAGATACTAATGCTCTTTTTTTGGATTGACAATTTCAAGAGAGGTACTCATTTCACTACTACAATGTAGCATTCACTTACATGTTTAATAATTGGACATGTAATTAATCCATTTCTGCTGCCCCCCCCAAAAAAAAAAAAATCTACCAAAAAAAAAATATTGTACTTCATAATGACAAGCAGTAATCACATCAACAATAAGAATTAAACAATTTGTGCGTCATGACAATTCAATGGGCATTGTGCTCCTCCTTCTGGCATGTCTGCCTCGGCCACCAGGAGGCAGCATAATACATAAAGACATACTCTGCATAGATTTAATGATAAAACATACGGCAAAGAGGGCACAACGAGGCTCCAATAATATTGGGCATTCTTCACAGAGGATAAATAATATGCACCTGTGAGTATGCTCCGTTTGCATGTGTTGTGAATGACTTGTGTTCAAATAGGAATTCTTTCAAAGACTGCGACATCGATGCTACTTTTGGTGGCCTGACAATGATATTTTGCTTTGCGCAT